CCAACACATCCAAACCAAATGTTGGCCTCAACACATCCAAACCAAGTGTTGAATTTGTGAACATGTCACCTGCCCATGTCACACACCTAACCTCTCATGGAAAATATACAGTTGGGTTACGTCGTCACGTAACCCTGGTGATCGCGGCCACTTCATCCATCGGTATGACTCGGCCTTGCCCCCATACCGGTAGCAAATAGAATACTTAGAGGAGTACTTCAGAATCCACTTAACATCTGAAGTGGTTTATTATATAATCTTTGAAAAAGTTCCATATTGGAATCCTCACCATGGGACTCCCAAATTCCATATTTTTCCAAAGATTATATCCTGATCTCACCAAGAGATCTCCTAATCCATACCATAACCTTACTCCTCTAAGTCCTATTAGCTTTCCAAACCAAACACACATAGCATATTCCATAATTACATACAAAATTTTCCATAACCATGCCAAATTACTCAATATAACAACAAAAATAATTAAACATCCAAAACAACTATCAACTTAACCAAATTACCCTTTGTGAAATGACAATCTTCACATAAAATATCATATTAAGAGTTATACTACTCCTATCATGCTCATACTTATCTCATATGAAAGATAAGAAGATTTCCTACAACTCTTATGAATACATCAAGTCCTAATTCCATCATCTACTTTGTTAAAAATTCTAAAAACCGCAACAGCTATAACCAATGCTGGCAGCTTGACCCCTATTCACTAAAACAGTCATATCTGGAGTTCTAGACCTCCTTTTTGGGTGATTCCAACGCCATTAGAAAGCTAACATCCAAGGCTACAACTTTAATGAAGACTTCAAGACCAACATACTCACGCCCAGCGCACTAATAACACGCCCGGCACAAAACTCAAACAGAGACCTACAGGGGTCATTACGCCCGGCGTGATTTGGCAATGATGGTCTCTGATGAATTCACGCCGGCATCAAGAACTGCGCCCGGCGCATTTACAACCAAAAACCCTCGAAAAACTTTGAAAATTCCTTCCAATCATGAATCCAATCCAAATTACATGAGTTCGAACCATTATAAAGCATAAACAATATCCAAAAATAACATTTTAAGCAATAAAATCAAGTATTAACCATTAATCCATGAAAATCATGAAGAAATCATGAAGAACCCTAACCAAACCCTCTCCAGCTCAATCCAACCTCAATGATGCGTAAAACATGGAATCAATGTGATATTTCAACTCCATACATACTAGATTAAGTCTTATAAGTACTACCCTTACCTCAGAAACTTCATAAATGCAAGATTTGAACAAAACCCTCAAATTTCCAATTCAAACTTCAATCTCACTTGTCAAGGCTTTAAAGGTTGAATCTCTTGAAACTCTAATTATGAAGATTGATCCTGGCTTGATAAGCTTCCCAAATGTGTCCTCAGCTTTCCTCTGGACTAGAGCCCCTCTCTCTACTTTCTCTCTCTAGAACTGTCCCTGTCTGACAAATGAGACCCTCCGGTCCTAAGTCCCTATATATAGCCATTTTTCAAAATTTTCAAATTTCACCCTTAGCAACTATTCACCTCAAATATCATATTCCTTGAAGTATTTCAACTCCCTAAGCTCTAAAACAACCTCAAATTCACTCAGAAAGACCGGATTTATCTTATGTTTCTATCCTTCAATCTCCTACCCATCCTATTCCTTTCCATGAAATACGCACAACTCACCACCATATGAAATGCAACATGTATTAACACACAAACGGACATCACTTTCAGATACATATGCTTGGAATAATGAGTTGCATGCCATAATACTTCATTTAACCAAGATGAGAAGGAAGGTGATCAATCTTCTTCCCTCTTAGTACCAATTCAGTATAATGGTGTACAATGCATCATTCACCAAATTCATGCACACACATGCCTATATAAACCTCTCAAAACATCAACCTCTCATCTCATACTATAAAATCACTACCATGCTTAAACAACTAATCTAAACCACATCAACATACAACATGCACATAAGTAAGTATATTTCAAATCCACATCTTCATAATCCAATCCAAATCCATATAAATAACATATACATACATGCATACATACATACATATATATATAGTATATCTACCAAATAGCTCGATATTTCCATGGCGTTACACATTTGATAGTAAGTTTACTTGTATCAAACATAACTTTGCAAAATGGTTTACTAAGTAATTGTGATTAATTGAATTCTTTAAAAATCACACATTGTTCTCAGTAACAAAGAGATTTATTGTCAAAAGCATTCAAATTAGATAAATAGTAGCGACATTCATTCTAACACTCTTGGTAACACTGTACTATTAAAATTATAAATTTTAATAGATATTATCACTAAATTAGGAAAGTGACTCGTTAAATGAGATACAAGATCATCCAAATTTATGATTTTCACATAGAAAAAGAATATTACTTGTACTTATTATTTGGTGTATATGTGTAGATAAAGTTTATCTAATAAACGTTTAAAATATTAAAGTAATTACATAAAAAAAAACAATGAATTGTATTTATAAACTCAATTCATTGCATAAAAAGGTAAGGAGAAGAGAAAGTAATGTACATTTTTTTTTTTGGTAAAGATAGGAAAGATTATAAAGAATCTACTATAAAAAACATTATATAATATTATTATATTTTTTAAATAAATATATAAAAGTAACTACATTTTCTGAACGTCTACAATTTTTTTTTTTAAATCTAAATCTAGGGAAGTGCCCCTCATATCCTTTTTGTATGGTTTTGTCAGTAGTGTCCCACTAAGCAGGCGGAAGTTTTTGTTTTGTTTAGTGTTGTTCGGCTGTGAAGCCAATACTTAAATGTTGACTGGTCAATGACTCAAAACAAAAGCTAGGGTAGGTCTTCCATCATAATTCATAGAGGTTTCCAATCCCAATATACAGCAAAGACGAATTTTGGGTTTTTTGTCTTGTATAGATCTTGATCACATATACTGACAATGACCCAACACACCATGTTGGCTACGTTAATTTTTGCTACTCACATATACGTTACACGCAACAATTCAACCGTATTAGTCCTTTTGAAAACTTGGATTATTTTTAGGCACGGTACACCCTTTTTGCTTTAAATCGGGAGAGACGTTTATTCGATTTTCCTTCAAAATTAAGAAACAGCCTATAAAAAATTTGATTTATATATTAATAATTATCTTCTAAAATGAGTAGGACATTCACATGGACAACAATTATAGCTCTCCTCTCCTCTCCTCTCCAAATATTACATTCATACTTGACATGCTGTGCCTTTGCCTCCACAACGTTGCATCAAAATTTTCTCCACCAACTGCATGTCCCTAGTATTTGTAGCAGTTTCTGTAATCTGACTATAAACTAAAACTATCAACACCTTCTGTCCATGTCCATGCTTCTATCACAGCCACTTAATTCCTATCTTATTCATCCAAAACACACTCTCATTGAGAGTGTTTCCAAGGAATTCCAAGACTACACCATTCAACCAAACTAAATGAACTTTGGTGAAGGAAGAAAATTCACATTTCATGACTTGGAGGTTCCATTAGAAGGTCCATCAGGTTTGATCCTCTTAGTAGTGTTTGGATTTGAACTATTATGTGAAGAATTTGGACATGAACCAACTGTTAATTCATCACTCTTAAAACTTAAGCACCCAGCATCAAGCACCCCAACAGGACTTTGGGGCACAAATGGCACCTTACTAGCAGCAACATTGATCAGGGACAAATCTCTTATCAATTCAACACACTTTAGAACTCTCCCCTGAAAAATTAAAACCCCTTAAAAAAGTCAGAACAGTTCAATAAGAAGATAAAAAACTGATTATCAACTCAACAAGGACTAAAACGGAGGCATATTTGTCCATGCATGCTCAATGTGGAAACAACAACCTCACCTTCTCTACAATTAAGAAATCAGGCATGGCCTTATCGATCTCTTTTGCTTGCGATTCCTTTAAAAGGGAAATTGCCACAGCGGCGGCAATCTCAGAAGGCCGGAATTCCAAGAAGTCAATACCTGGAATTGATTTTCCAGAAAACACTCTTCAAACTCATTACTCCTCAAGGAAAACAGAGTACAGAGGGACCAAATATTCAATCGCGGTAACGAGAATACCTCTGATTATGCCAAGGATGAGCTGCAGTGATCCTGAAATGACTGATTTTGCTGGATGCGGCTCACAAGTGATCTTACCAAGGAAGTAGTCTATGAAGGAACAAGGAGTTACAGCGCTCATTTTCCATCTCAATGTGCTTAAAAGCAGTAGTTCCATTTTTTGAATGGTTTTTGCTTCGAACACAAACTTTGGTTCTCCAACCTGCCCGTTATCAATGTCAATGAGAAAATTAGAGGGTAATAAACATAACAAAATCACATTTAACTATCTCAAAAGATTGCAAGATTCTACTGTACCTGTAAATCTACAGATTGAGGCACTTTAATCTCCTCCATTTTAGCTGCAATTGACAAGCAAGCAACAGCTAACAATTGCACAGTCCAACTTGCACCTCCCTAAACACATCAAGAGGCCAAAACACCAATTAGACAATCAAAAAGAGATCACAGAGAAATAAACTTACAGACAACATTCGATCTTACCGGTAACTCAAAAGCCGACAGGAAGCGATCCAAGTAGTTCACAGCCAAACAAAAACTCAAGGGTCCAAAGCCAAAATAAGTATGAGCCTGTTGATCACATCATAAAAAGTGAAAGTCAATAACACAATCAACGCAATTAAATACAACAAGATTGCGATTAACCACATTCATCAAGCACTTTCCACCAGTATGAAACAAAATTCAATTCTACAAGAAAAAAGGAAATTCCGAATCAACTTAAGAATTGACAACAGCACCTAGCTACTCCATTACCAAGTTGGAAGTTCAAAAATTAAAGAAAAACCCAAAATAAAATTGCAAAAGCCAATTGAGACCCAAGGAAAAAGCCCGACATATCATAAGAAATCAGATAACAAAGTAAAAACAACTCTTTAAAATGACCCACCAAAGCAAGAATCCAAACAAATCAACAAAGAAACAAAAATCTCATTAAATGATTAATCTTTCCATGGCCATTTTCACTCAACGGGGACTTAAAGCACAAAGCAATGAATCAAACACCAAAAAACAAGACACCCCATTACCTTCCAAATCCAATCAAGAGCCTCCCTCCTAACACTCAAGTCCAACTCCCCACTTCTGAGCCTCTTAAGGTAATCCTCCCTCGGCAAATGCTCCCTCTCTCTCTCAACCATAGCCCTCACAGTCTCCTCACTCTGCGCCACAAAACACGCCAACAACTCCGATCCACTAGCCTCGAGTTCAGAGTTAACGTTCCCGTGGTCCCAGAAATGCGAGATTCTGGAGGCGTCCGCGGCATCGCAGTCCAAATCATCGTCGAAGCAGGTACTACTGTTCTCCGAACAGAGAAGGTTAGAGGTAGCAGAGTGTGTGTTCTCAGGCATGATTGGTGGTAGAAGGGTTAAGGGAACAGAGGAACTTGGTGGGGCGTTTTGGGGTGAGATGGAAAACCCATGTGACAGTGTTGGAGCATGGAAGTGTAGAGTGGGAGAGAGGGGAAAGGAACGAGCTTTATGTAGGAAGCGGGTTGTGCTTTTAGGGCAAAAGGAGAGAGAGGTGGGATGGGGCAAGAAAGAGTATTGGTGGTGTCCATGGACACACCAAAACCCAAAAAACCAAAGCAAAATTAACACATTTTCTGGTGGGTACAAAAACCAAATAGGACTGTAATTTTGTCAACATGGAAATTTTGCATCCAAACTAAGAATGTGGGGAAACAAAATGTAATGGGATTCCACTTTTAGTATAAGCATATACCTTTTTTGTTTCGATGCTTTTTTTTTTTCCTCAAAAAATTGTTTTATTCATATATTTTTATATTTCTAAATAATTTTTATAAGAATTTAATGATGATACAAAGACGTCAGTGTAAAGTAAATATACATTTGCAACCAACATCGTATATTTAACTCTTTTTATAATTTAAATCTTAACACAATCCTTACTTTTTAGTTGTCACTTTTAAGATATATGAATTTATCCAAAAAATTTCTAAAAAATATATTTAATTTTTTCATTTCTAAAATCTTGTGCTTTGTTTAAATTTGAGATTTATTTAAAAGGATTTTAAAATCCAAAAAAAAATCATTGGAATTTGTTTAAAAATAATAAAGAAAAGTAGTTTGACTTTTTCTAATGTTGGTAAATGGCTGTATCTGAGTATGAATAATTGAGTGCAAATATCTTCCCTTAAATGCATAATCAGTCCTAACTTTTCTTGTTTTCTCTTCACATTTTTGTACAAACATAAATACACTCTAATTATCCTTCCTTAATCTCATGTTTAAAATATTTTCTGTTAAATATTTCAAACAATAAGTCAAGATAATTAATTAAATTGTTATATTTGTGTATAAGTCAAATAATAAAAGATAAGTTAAAATTTTTAATTATTATTTTAGGAAAAAAAATTGAAGATCTTCTTAGTTTTGAATATATATATATATATATTCTTTCCATAAGATACATGAACATATTTAGACTAGTATTGGGTGAAAAGTAAAAGAAATTTGTTTTGACATACAACACTTAAAATTATTAGTATAATTAGTCCAAGTTTTAACCAATTATTTACTCTCATTTTTATATACGCACACACACAAAAAAATTATAAATAAATATATAATGATAAAATTTTATTTAACTAAAAACAAAAGAAAATAAATATCTTCTTTTTCTTCAAATCAAATTTTTTTATAAAAAAAATCTCTTATTTTCTTTCTGCTATATTATGGTAAACATACTCAAATGTGAAATTTGATGTCTTTAAAATCAAACAAAAACTGAGTTGGTATCGATTAACGTTTAAACATAATGGTTAAAGGTTTCATGTTTTCTATTCATTTTCTTATTTAACTGCACTGACAAATAAGATTGATCAGAAGTCACCTCAGTTACAATTTGGCTGTCTCATTAACAGTAATTATTTGCTGGCAAAATTTACGTTAAACATGACAATCGAGGTCTTTAGGATAAATTTACGTTTTCCATTTATGAAATTGGTTATAAGTAATTTTTTTTGTGTCATATTATGTTACATCACTTTTTTTATTTTATGAATTGTTTAAATTTTAGTAAAGTTATTCGTAGAAGTTTAAATACTAAAATTTAAGTAATTTATAAAGTAAAAAAAGAATTGATATAGCATAATGTGGTACAGAGAATTACTTAACAGCAATCTCTATCAAAGATGTTCTAAGTATTTTTTTAAGAAAAATAATAATAATAATTTTAATAACCTATCCTAAATAAATATACTAAAATCTAAGTGTCAAAAAAAAAAGTTAGATTTTTTTAAATGAGATTTGAATGAATTTTATTCCTTTAAATTGATACACTTTGTTCAACTTAATTTAATTTAGACCGATTATAACTTTTGGATATTAAAAATCACTTAAAAAGTTATAGTAAAATAAATAGAACTTAAATCTACATGACATTTTCGTGAGAAAAAAAAACATCATGTGTACAATTGGTATCTCCAACAATATCCAAAGAGCTTTACTTTAGCCACTTTGGTCTTTTTTTTATTATTATTGAAGTTTGTTAATTTTATAATTTATTTCTTGAAGGTGTTTGGTAAACAGAAGATTTATTATTTTTACGAGAATCTGACATTAGAAATGTTAATTTTTTATATTTAATTTATTATTTTAAAAAAAATAATATTTCTTAGAATATTATAAGTTTCTTACGAAAGTATTCTTATAAAAAAGTGAGAAATTAACTTTTTTAAGATAAAAATAAAGTTTTAATACAATAAAATGTCATATTATTTATTTATTTAATATAGTAACAATCATCCATTCTCATATAACATTCATAGCATTCTTTAAAATAATTATTTTTAAGAATCATAATTATCAGAATTTATAATTTTCATAAATCATGATTATTAATCATAAAAATATTTTTTTTTTATATTTCAAACATCTCTTTTTTACTAGGGCAATACAAATTTTAAGTTTGAAATTCCTATGATTATGCATTACATTTCATAATCCTCAAATTCCTTCATATTTAGTTGTTTTGGATGCATATATATTTTGTCATGCATTTCAGGTTCTTTTAAATATGCATGCTTAATTGTTTATAGTCATGCATTTTTAGGTGGTCAAGTGTTCCTGTATTAGGATATACACTTTACTTGTTCTTGCTGTCGTGGGTTGAATTTTGGGTCTAGATTTTGTCGTTCCTTTCCGAGTAGTCCGAAGTGAAGGGGGGTGTGCCTGCAAAGATACTCCAACGCTCAAGTAAGTGCTCGGCGTAATAAATGCGGTAGTTGAAAGTTGGTTACGTACCTCGTTGGGGTCTATTTATAGTGTTTCTTGTTGGGTCGTGATTAAGGACTGGACCCCGGGAAATTAGGGGACTAAATCGGCACATTACATTAATTAATATCTCCTTAATGATCGTGACATAAATCCGCAATTTGGCCGAGTCCACCGACATGTTCAGCTCAGGTAGTGAGTGGTCGGTGGTCTCGGAGCAATCCATTGGGTCAGTTGGGTCGGACTTTCGGGTATTCGGCCTAGTCGGCTACCACCCGATATATCAAGCATTCTAGAATTCATTACTTCTTCCGTTTTTTTTCATAGTCGTTTTGTCAGAGTTTGTTGTTTTTTTTTTCATTGTCATATTACTAAAATGAAAGAGTTATTAATTTTTTTCTTTCATTTTTACCCTTGATAATTAATACATATTTTCTTAACAATGTGTGTATTTATTTTAAATATCTACCTAATTTTTCTCCAACTACTCATATAAAGTTAATGTGCATTTATAAGAGCAATATGTTCCCAACAAAATATTATAAAAACAAAAAAGGGACAACTATTTAATGGAGTAGTTCAACAGTCTAAAAAATGCACACACAAAAATAAAGAATAAAATAGAAAAGTAAGTAATAAATATTTTTAAAAACTAAAATATCAATGATTTTCTTAAGTCCCGTGCAAAACCTTAAACTACTATAAAATAAAAACGGAGTGAGTAGCAATCGGATTCATGTATTAAATTATCCCATTGACTACATTATCTCTACGTATTTGATATGTTATTAGTCAGAATTCTTTGAATGTGGTATCTATTGTACTCATTCTTGCATAACTCTTCTCAATAAAACGATCTTTAACCAAGTTGAAATAATTAGCATTTTTTTTTGTCTTTAATGATTACATTGACATAAATAGTAAATGTGAGATTTGAGCCAATACTTCGGGGGCAAAAAATGACATTGCATATCTCAACTCCCTTTTTCCTTGTATATGTGATTTTTTCTCATAATTGTGTCCTCAAGAATTTGCTTTGGAATCTTGTTGAGGCTTTAAATTATTTAAATTATGGATTATATGATGAAGGCAATTAGAAAATTCTTTCGGTCTTAGATTTTTAAACATCGTTCTTATAGCATCTTTAATGATAGTTTTTATAAATAATTTATTAAAATTTTTATTTTACTTTAAATGAGAGCTATCGTACTATATTATTTTTAAGTAACTTGCATTATAATTTTACAAATTTTAATTCAATGATAGGATCTTATAACCAATTCACATTTTTATAATTTTTTTGTTTACACTTTATCTTTTGACAACTTAAAAAATTAATATATTTATTATAATTAAATTAATCATGATAATTATTTTTTTTATTTGTGAGAGTAATTTGTATTATAATTAACGTTGTTTTATTTAAGAGTCATTTTTTATTTTTTAATAATTTTTTGTGTCATGTCATCATACTTTAATAAAAGAGTTACTAATAAGATTGTTATTTATTAATAAGATATATCACAAACATTTTGTGTTAGAGATATTCTTATTAGTAAGTCATCTATTGTTATTTTATTGGTACTCTTTGTTTATATTTGAATTTGTTATGTTGAAAAAAAGGAATTATGGCAACTCGGTGAACAATTAAAAAAAAGTGTTGAAAGTATTGAGTCCTGTGAAAGAAAATGTCAAGAATATTTATGTTGAGACTCTTATGAAAAAAAAATGCTTGAGAACTTTGATGTTAATACCGTGAGTCTTGTGAAAGAAAATGTTGGAAATATTAATGTTAATAATCTTGTTAAAAAAAATAATGAAATTTAAATGTTTATAACACAATAGTGGTAATGAGTTTTAAATTTACGTATGCTTAATTCTGTTATTTCTAAAAGTATATGTTTTAAATTTTCAAATAAGGTTTTATAATATAATAAAAATAAACAAAATATTAATATTACTATTAAGTGGGATTTTTTAAAAAGATTTTTAAAATGTAAAATGAATCATTGGAAATTTTAATTTATTGGAATGTATTTTAAAAGTGATAAAGTAAAGTAGTTTGACTTTTACTAATTTTAGTATAAAAAAAAAAAATCTTCGATTGTAGCAAATGATGAATTAATAGAGTGCAAATTACTTTCCTCATAGTCATAATCAGTCCTAATTTTTCTACTTTTTCCTTCACATTTTTTACAAACATAAATACACTCTACATCAAGATAATTAATTAAATTGTTTTATTTGAGGATAAGTCAAATACTAAAGAAAATTTAAAAAAAAAATGTAAAATACTAAAACAAAAGTTAAAGAAAACGTTAACTTTCTTTGGAAATGTCAAAGTTATTAAACAAGAATATTTTTTTGAATGAGTAATTTAAAAAAACTTTCTTCGA